CCAATTGAAATCTTTAAATTAGGGGTTGGGGTTGTAGCTCAATGGTAGACCACTTGCCTAGCATGTGTGAGGCACTATGTTTGATCTTCAACACCATATAAAAATAAATAAAATAAAGGTGAATAGTTTGCTTTACCACATGCTCTTCATGATGTGCTGTCCTCACCAGAGGCCCAACACAATGAGGCCACTTGTCCATCTACAAGTAAAAATTCTTTTTAAAATCTTTAAAATGTTTATAATTGTGTCATTTGACAAGTTCAAGGACCAAAGAGGAGACTGGCAAAACTTTCAAAGTCTTCTGAGACCTTCCTAGACAATGGAGCAGAGAGGTATGGGAAAGTTTGAGGTCAGATAATTTGAGTTTGTTATTTTCTAACAATGTGACTTAGATTCTTTGACCTCAGTTTCATCTGTAAAATGGTGATACTGGTACCTAAATTTCAGGGTTGTAGTGAAGACTAAATGAAATTATGCAGGAGTAGATATGACATCAGATTTCTGTCTTCTTATACAGGAGAAGGATATATATATATATTATATTATATATAATATATATTATATTATATTATATATATAAATATATGTATATATTATATATATTTATATATTGAGGATATTTAATAAAACTGATTTTAAGTGACCTATTCGCTCATATATATTAAATTGGCTTGGATGTATCTAAACTTGTTATACTGATCATAATTTAACACAAATCTTAATAGAGGAGACCTGGCCAGGCTGCTATTTGGTAATACTTTGTGTGTCACGAGTGTAGCTGGATATATGCATTTAAAAAGTATTGCAAGCTCCATATCCTTTAAATATGATCTTTTTTTAATTTGTTAGAATGTTCAACTAATCTAACATAGTGAGGTTTGATTAGGGAACAAAGGAATTACAACAGTTTGAGGTGATGTAGAATCAAAAACTAAGCAGGATAGGGCAGAGGAATATGAGGAATACCTTCTGGGGACAATGCATTTTGATCTGAGCCTCAAAGAGATTGATGTGGGTTATTAGCAGAGGTAGGTGAACAGTCAAGGGAAGGAAATATCATGTTAAAGCATGTGAACACAAACAGTCCAGTTTCTATGGCATTTCTCATATTGTCACTTCTTCCTGGGATGTCTTTTTTTCTTCATCTCCTTGAAAATTTTGCCCATTATTCAAGGTTCAGCTCAGATATAGCCACCCCTGCAAAGCTCTCCCTAATCTACATCTCCATCCCCACTGCTGTAATCTGCCCTGTGATTATTAAAGTACACGACATTATGAGATTATAGGACTAGAGCTCAGAGGGTCATTGAAGGAACAAAGTCTTAGCCCATGAACAATGAGGGAAGGAGCTTAAGGGCAGGATGAAAATTTTAGAAGAAGGAGGGGTTGATAATGTTATCCTTATACCTATATTTACTCTCTGCATATTAAAGCATTTTGCAGTTTGAATTTGCTTATGTGAAATTATAGATCATATTGCCTAGTTTTAACTAACTTAATCATTCACAAATGAGCAAGTAGTTTACAGTTTTCCTATAAATAAATTGGGGATTGAAGAGAGACTTAGGGCAAGTACAAGAGAATGATTTTTAAAATGACAGAGGTAGTGTCATTTTCCTTCTAGAAGTTTCTCCTAGAATGGGTTAATTGTTAGCCACATCACCAAGTCAAAATAGCAACAATCAAATTGATAAACCAATAAATTTTGACCAAAGAAAATTTGCTGAAAGTCTTTGTGAGGTAACTATTTTAGGGTTTTGACAGCCATTAATAACAATAATTGAAATTACTACATTTAGGATTTCAGATTACTGTATCATAAGGGATTAAACCAAGATTTAAAACATAAAGCTTATTAAATTGCATTGCTCTCTCTAAAGACATTATTTTAATGTTAATTTTTTAATGAAAGCAAAAAGGATTTGGGGATTGTTAATATATTTATATCAAATATTGAAATTTTCAAAATGGTAGAATAGAGACAATCAGCACTACTTTGTTCCTCTATGGGATGGGGAAAAAAGCAACAGATGTGTAGCTCCTCATGGAAGTGAGCACCTGGGGTTGAACACTGGAAATTGATGTCACAAAAAAAATGACAACTGGTAGATTCCAGAAACTAGTCAGAATTATAAAACAAGAGAAGCAGAATATCCCAGCTTGTGGTTCCCAGTACCTGGGTCGGTGAAAATGGTAACAGTATGGCACAGAAGGTTGCACATTGCTCATAAACTACTTAAATAAATAGGTGACCTGAAGTATGAATAACAAGCTTACTTTAGAGAAGGAACTCACAGCATTTGTCAGCAAACCTTCAGAGTGCTAGAACTGGGAGCCATCTTGAGAAGAATATTATTGTTAGGGATTAAAGTACACAAGGGATCAAAAAAAAACAAACAAACATAATTACATTTCAGGGTCCCCAAGGTCATCCTACTGCAGTGAATGGATAGGCAGTGGTCACATGAGATAATCATAGCTTGGGGGAGTATTATAGTTTAGATGTGAGGTGTCTCCCAAAGTCTCATGTATGAGACAATGCAAGAAGATTTAGAGGTGAAATGATTGGTTGTGAGTTTTAACTTAATCAGTGGGTTAATCCCCTGATAGGAATTAACTGGGTGGTAATGGTAGCCTGGTAGGAAGTGGGTCCCTGGAGATGAGGCTTTGGGGTTTATATTTTGTCTTTGTTGAGCAGAGCTCTCTCTCTCTCTCTCTCTCTCTCTCTCTCTCTCTCTCTCTCTCTCTCCTTCCTGGGTGTCATGTCCCCAGCTACTTTCTGCTGCCACATACTTCTGCCATATTGTTCTGCCTCACACCAAACCCTGAGGAATGGAGTCGGCCATCTATGGACTGAGACTTCTGAAACCAAATAAACTTTTCCTCTTCTCAAATTCTTTTTTCACGTCTTTTGGTGACATCAGCAAAAAAGCTGACTAAAATAGGAAGTGTCCTTGACACAAGCTTGCTGAGAGATATATGCTGTAGGATCTTCAATAGCTTGAACATTTGCCATACTCCCCCTCCCCAGTATTCAATTTTAAAAACCTCTGGAGTAAATTCACAGTGGCTCTGGAATTTGCCAAACACCCAATGCCTGTGGAGAGAGGTCCTTTAATCTGTTCAGTGAGAATGGTGGGTCACATGTTTACTGTGATGCTGTTCACAATATTCAAGATATGAAATTAGCCTAGGTGCCGGATGAATGGATAAAGAAAATATGGTAATAAGCACAATGGAGTATTATTCAGCAATAAAGAAGAATGAAATCCTGTCATTTGCAGAGAAATGGATGAATCTGAAGGTCATCATGTTAAGCAAAATAAGCTAGACACAGAAAGACAGGTATTGCATATTCTCTCTCATATGTGACCTGAATGTGGAAGAGGGACTATTAGGCAAGGGAAAGGGGACTAGAAGAAGAGAAGAGGACAAGAGAGGTTAGAAGGGAGGGTGAACAATATCAAAGCACAATATATGCATTTAAGTAATGTCACAGTGAAATCCATAAATTTGTACAATTAATATATATTAATAATTAAGAAAAATAATACCATCCTAAAAATAAAAACATGTTTAATTTCATGTTGCTGTATAACCTTAATTTTTGCATTTGTTTTATAATGTATAAAATGTATTATTGAAATATTACAGGGTTAATTATAAATACATATGTATGTATATAAATATATATGCATATATATTTATACACAGGAGAGTAAGCTCAGACTTTTTTCCTTAGTAATAGAATTGGAACTTGCAAATCATCACATTAATCGACTTCATGTTTGTAGTGAGGAGGAAGGGAAATGGCATCAGCCATTGAAAGGCTTTTATCAACCCAGAGACAGAAGAGGCAATCACTGACTTGAGCCTTTTTTCAGGACTTGGAGAGGGTTCAAAGATTTTAGGGGACATCAACAGGAGGCAAATTAGGGAGTTGCAGTAATACTTACCAGAGGAGGGAGCCAAGCCCATAGGGCTGCCACTAATCCATATTGTCCCAATGTATGAAGTAGGAAAAGGTTCCCT